CGGCGGCCACGGCTTTGTCTCGGGTAGCATGGACACCAACATTCGTGTCTACCTCAAGTCGACCGGCAGCGGCTTTTCGTGCGCGATCGTGCTCAAGGGCCATACGAGCGGGGTCATCTCCCTGGCGTGGCTCGCGTCCGAGGTGCTTCTCTCGGGCAGTTGGGATGGCACCTGCCGCGGCTGGGACCTCGCGACGCAGACATGCACGTTCGTCTTGCCCAACCACGAGAACGGCGTGTGCGTCCTTGGCCTCGAGAACGGCTCGATCGTCACGGGCTCGACGGGCCGCCAAGAGGGCAACCAAGTCGTCGACGCGCTTCTCCGCGTGTGGCAGCCGTCCGCGTCCGGCAGCGACTACACGCTCGCATCGACGCTCAAGGACCATCAAGGTACATCGATACATTGCAGGTGCAGGTGCGCATACGAATATGTAGGTCCTATTCGCCAGCTTGTACCTGTCCCCGACATTGGCTTTGCCTCGTGCTCTAACGACGGGTGCGTTCTTGCGTAGCTCGTCTTTCTGTTTTATAGAAATCTCTCTTTTTGTAGGAGCGTCAAGCTGTGGACGTCGGGCGGCGACGTCGTCATGAGCTGCAGCCACCCGCTCAACCACGAAGGCAAGCCAGGGTTTGTGCTTGGACTGGCATACCTTGCGCAGAGCCGCCAGCTCGTCTCGGCGAGCGAAGACTGCACAGCGTGCGTCTGGGCGCTCGGTACTCGACAGAGAGATGGACGGTATCGTGACACGTGGTGTGTGTAGACGGCTCGCTGCTGCAGACGATTGCGCATCCGCAAGGTCTGTGGTGCGTCACGGCGCTGAGCGGCACGGACTTTGCAACCGGCGGCGACGACAAGATTGCCCGCATCTTTAGCACGTCAGCGACCATGGAGTCGTCGGCAACCGAGATCCTCGCCCTCCAAGAGCAAGTCGAAAATGCGGCGAAATCGCGCCAGCACGGTCCGAGCGCCGTCGAAATTGAGAAGCTGCCCGACTATTTCCAGCGCGCGTCGCGGACGGGGCCGTCGGACGGCTTTATCCAAATGTTCCGAAAGGGCACATCGGCGTGGGCATGCCAGTGGAGCGGTCCGTCACGGACGTGGCTCGATGTACTGCGTTTTTTGTGGTATCCGGGACTGATGCCATCCTTTAGATTGGCGAGGTCACGGGCACGGGTTCGGGTGGCGTCGTCGACGGCGAGTCGTTTGATCTTGTGATTCCAGTCGAGATTGAAACACCCAACGGCCTCCAAAAGCTGTACCTGCTGGTGGTCTAGTTTGATGGCGCTGAGCGCCGAATTGGGTAGGCAAATCGGGTACAACCAAGGGCAGAACCCGTTCCAGGTCGCCCAAGCGTTTATCGACAAGCATTTCTTGCAGCAAGGCTACCTCAAGGAGGTACGTTTTCATGTTCATTGTCGCGCAGACTCGTATCTGCTCGAGTAGATTGCTGATTTTATCACGGCGCAGTCGGGCAGCTACCAGGCGCCAGTGCTTGGCTCGGCTGCGCCTCCACCGACCACCCCCGCGGCTTTTGCATCGACGTACTTTCCTGTCGTACGCTCTTGACGCGTCCTGTGTCGCTACCGTGTTGCTACAATGTGGTGTTTGTTGCGTAGAAGTCGTACAGTTCGTTTGACTCGACCAAGGTGGCCAAATTGCACTCGACGGTCGTGCAGTTCAACGCAGCCGTGGCCCCGGCGGTGCGTTATTCCATTTTGCTAGAATACAGAAACTCACTCAGCACGGTTGTAGGTAGCGCTCACGGAACCCGAGCTCGAGACGCTGGCGACGTTGCTTACAACGTTGACGCAGACGTCGTACTACCACTCGAGCCAAATCTCGAGCACGCAAGTCGACGTGGCGCTCAAGATGGTCGAGCACTGGCCTGCCGCGCACGTGTTTCCCTGTACCCCTACACCTATCCATTTGGGTGCTTTTACATGGCCCCATAGCGCTGGACGTCTGCCGTCTCGTGGCCCTTCACCCTATCGGCGCAAGCGTTCTCAGCCGCAAGGCGCCATGGCTCCTGGAACGGTGTCTTGCCCTTGGTACACATGACCTATCTGTCAATGGCGCTTTGTTTACGATCGCCATGTCGGTGTAGGCGCCGACACGAGTGCGGCCGTGCCCAACCCCACGCGCATGTTGGCGTGGCGTGTGCTCTGCAACTACTGCGTGCACGCGTCGCTTCGGTCGACGCTGATGCAGTCGTCGGCGAACGTACATGCGCAGCTGTGTAATGTCGTGCGTGGTCTGAGTGACGTGGTAGGTCGAGACGGGTCTTGTGTCGGCGTGGTCGCTTGCCAGCGGCAACAAGACGCTGGCTGTCACGCTGGCCACGCTGGGTTTGAACCTCGCCGCGGCGGTGGCAGCCAAGGAGCGCGACGCGTCGGTGGCGCTAGCCTCGGTGCTCAGCACGGTATTTCGTTGACACGACAACAGGATCTCAGGCGTCTTGCTAGATGGCGGCGACTGACGCCCTCGACGACGACACGTTTGGCCGCCTTCTCCTCGCCACTGCGACACTGGTATCACGTCGACGCATGACCACGCGCGAATCTGATTGTTTTGTGGCGTAGGGCTCGGTCGCGCCGCAATTGTGGCCGTCGTTGCCATCTGCGGCGACCTTGCGCCCCCGGGCGTCCACCACGCCGTCGCTTCTCGCGATTCTCGACGATCTCGCGGCCGGGTCGCGCGCGTAAAGCGCCTTGGCGATCCGACTGCGTAACTACGATGCTCGTTTGCATGTGTGTGCGTGTGTATGCTGCTGGGATTGATCCCATGCCCATTTGATGTGAGTGCGCTGAGCTCGTTGGTCCCACATGACACAGGACGACTGCATTTTGTCAAGCACGCCACGGACCACAAACGATATTGTATTCTGGACGGACAAGAAGAGACACTCACTTGAAGAGGCAGTCGCCCGCGCCACCGAGCGCCTTCTGGACGACGCGACGGGCAAACGGAATGTACGACAGCGAGTACCAGATTGCGGCGAGGAACTGCAGCAACACAAAGAGGAGGACGAGGACGACCTTGGCGGCCTTGCGCATCTTGGAGAACGCCACGAGCAGCGTCAGCACAATCAAGCCCAGGTACATGGCGGTCGCGATCCACCGGTGCTTTTGGAACATGGTGGCCACTTGGCGACTCGGGCCGACGAGGAAGATGGTCGAGAGCAGGCCGCAGAGCGACCCGAACGAGTACATGACGCCAAACCCGACCAAGTTGGCGGTCAGCAGAAAGACAAGCGAGAAGAGCGAGCACGCGGCGCCAACGACCAAGACAGCGCCAAACGCATACAGTCGGTTCTCGTACGACATGCTGGGGCAGCCCGCCTTGACGTTGTCGTCGATCTCGTCATCGCTGGACGAACTAGTAGTGGTCGTCGCCGCGGTCGTTGTGGGCAGCTCTGCGCGGGGCGTGCTCTTGGAGAAGAAGAAGCCGGCCATGAGGATGGATTCTAAGAAATGAGAAATAAGCAATGCTCGTCCAGTCCGCAGTGTCTTGCGACAGGCCATGACGCGAGGTGACGGTGACATTCACTCACCATCCGCTCGCAACTACATGTAATAAATTCGCGTTGGACCAGCGCGGAGCCGTGCAAATGCCAAGACAACTCATCGTAAAAACTCGCCGCGCTGCACTCGGCCCACAAGTCGTCCGTTCGTGCCCTCTGGTCGATCTTACGCACTTGCGTTGGGTGTAATTGTCTTTGGCTCGAACGCAACAACCGTATCGTCCGCTCGACGCTGACGCACCTTCTCGCTGCCGCGCTCGCGATCCAGGGTCGAAGACTGCACGACCGGCACTTGGCTCGTCGCGCCTTGGTGCCATCTCTTGACGCGTCGCTGGCCGCTCTCCGCGACGACCCTTGGTGTGCACGGTACCTGGTCCCTCGCACAATCTCGACTCGCGACCACTAACGCTCTTCGCTGAAGCACCGGCCACGCCTCACGAGCGCATTAGAAAGTCCACCATATCTTATACTAGTAATTGCATGTACCGGTAATGTAAGCTTAACTCACAGTCAGTTCAACAACAACACAGTGCTGTATTGTGCAAACGACACCGAATTCCCAAGACAACTCATCGTATCAAACAAGAACATTATTCACGGTGAGAGGGAGGTTCAAGGCACCCGCGACAACGCACGTGACGGCAAGAAGGCGCACCAAGTCGTTCCGGTTTGCTTCATGTCTGGAGGCATACAAACGAGCTGCAGCGATCGCAGCCTGCTAGTAGGGCTGATCGAGGCAGAGAAGCACAGTCGCTGACTTTGCCATTTCAAAGTGCAATGTTGGTTGCGGCGTGAGCAACTGCAGTAGTAGAGGACTACGGAATTAGTGGTCCATCTCGAGGACACTGGTAGACAAGAGGACCCAGCATCGAACGCTGTGGATATCTGCCATGCGCCCATCAGGAAGCAACGGCATGCTCCAACAGGATCCTCCTGCCATATCAAGATGAGCCGTCATTGCGACTCATATCTGGGCCGCCAAGCACGTGTACTGTTCGTCGATAAGGCGTAGAATAGTTGCAGATTACATGTTGACCATGAACAAAGGTTCTACTCGACTCTATCCGTAGGCTACCAGCTCCGAGCTCTCCCAGCTCCTTTGAGTCGCGTGCAAATAGGTGGCTGATCATAAATTTTCAAGCCAACATATTTGTTGCTTTAGGGATACCGTATATGTATCTTACGCGACAGCATTAGCGTGCTAGTCGACTTCCTCACCTCTCGTGCCGAGAAAATCTCTCTTGTATTGTCGCTGCCGATTCGTCTCGGCTCGCGACGCGCCATCAAGCCCATGTTTAGTTAGTCGATCGCGATCGACTAACACACAAAGCGGTCCCTCTGCACCGTTGTATCCAGCGCCGACTTCGAAAATCGTCTAATTTGGGCTTGTCCTACTGGCTTGGACACGCTTCGAACTTCGCTTTCCGGATAGCCTGCGGCACTGCATCGTCTTGCGGTTTGTATGAAATGTGCTGGTAAAGAGCCGACGAGGACCCGAAGTTCGAAGCGGCACCGGTGTTTCGAGCGAGCTCCTCTTGCAGGTTGTAATCCCACCGCAGCATACGCCAAGTCGCCGCCATGAAGAACACCGTCGTGAGTACGTCTACCTCGGCGTCGCCGCCGTCTCATGCTCGCATGTAGCTGTCTTCTTCAGCCTCGCGTCGCTCGCCTGCTGCGCGTTTGCGCTTATGTACCCGGCGTGGTTCCAGCAAAAGTACGCCAGCGCGAACGCGACCGTCGAGGTCTACCAAGGCTTTGGCCTCTTTGCCTTTTACTCGACGAACGCGCTCCAGACGCCGTTCTACGCGTCAGCGACGACGCTCAAGTACGCCGACTTTTGCGCGGCGAACGCGGCCGGGAAGCCGTCGCCCAATTGGATGCTCGGCAACGGCAACGCGATCGCCGAGATTGTGTGTGGCTCGGCCATGACCGCGCTGCAGTACGTCATGGGCTTCGCGACAGGTATTGCCGGCCTCGCGCTCCTCGGCGCGATCGCTGCCACGTACAACCCGTCGACGGGCCTCGCCGAGCGCACGGTCTCGGGCGGCACCTTTCTCGCGTCGCTGCTGCTGCTCACGTCGCTCATCCTCTGGGCGCTGCAGATCCAGCAAAAGATGTACAACGTCGACGTGATCAACTCGGCGTACCTCGAATGCAATGCGGGTGTGACCAACTGGAGCTGCTGGTTCTACGGCTACAGCTTTTGGACGGCGATCGGAAGCGTCGTTGGCATGCTCATCACCATGTACACGAGCTCGGCCGGCCGCGCGGAAAAGGTACTCGACGAAGGAGCCTCGGATGTTCATGCTTGTGCGATGCAATAGATCCGCCACTTCCGCAACGAGTACGAGCAGGACCTAGCGATCGCGCTCCAACAGTCCCTCGAAGCCGCCCAAAACAACGCGTCATCGCCGCGCACGATGCAGCAAGCGGGCTACGCCGGCGGCCACTACCAGCAGCAGCACTCGCAAGGCCACGTGGCGCCGTCGCGTGTGTAAACGCGCTTGCGTTCGATCTCTGTCGTCGCCTTCTTTCTTCCTCCATTGCCATAAAATATTAGTTTTAGTCCACTCCGCCGCTTTGGAAAGCGCTCCAAGGTGGTCGAGAGAGCGAGCGCATGATGGAAGCACCGCCACCGACCATGTACCGTAGTACAGGCGACGGAAGGGCCTATGTGGGTGGTGGTGGGGGTCATCGCGAAGGAACGCGGGCTGCGACGTGCAGTCAGGCGATCTGTGATACGTCCAACACGGCACATCGTCGTCGGCGCTCGTTCCTTGAAAACGGCCGCCGGAGATTTGCGCGGGTTCGAGTACCGTTGTGCGCGCGATATCATTGGTGCTGATTCCGCGCCAAACTCGGAGACGTGGCAGCCTCTCGTGTCGGTACGCTGAGCGCCGCCGAACATGCGCTCGATATTGGTCGAGATCTCGCAACTGATGCGCCTGCGACGCGAGCTTGTACTGTAGAGTCGTATTCGATCTGCACAAGTGTGCGAGTGAGAGTACGGCGGCGTGGGCCTTTAGCCAAGCGCTGTCAACGATTCCCAACGGCCAGCGCGGAGGCGTCTCGGTCATTTCCGGTTGGTAGAAAGGGCGTGGCCATGAACTCGGTGTAGCCCACCAGTTAGAGTTACTACATAATACCAGTCGGCAGTCGGCAGTCGGAAGTGGACCTGCGGACTGTACGATCAACAGGGTGCGTGCAACGCCTTAGCCGAGTTGATCGGTCCGCTGTCGCAATTTGCGGCCCTCGCTCGTGCATATCATTGGTAAAAAAAGGTCCAAACCATAGTAAAGCTCGACGGCGCAAGCGATGACAATATGTACATTTTTAGAGAGCGTGACGACACACGAAGCTTTCCTATAATAGCAGAGTTGTACGTATCATTAGAGCACATGCGGCGTCTGCTGCCATCCATCGCGTGTGCTGTCGCGCGTTCGTGCCCCTGGCTTGATTCGATCGAACGTGGCAAGCGAGGCGAGATTGCGTGTTTTCTTTTAAATATATGCCCAACTGTATACCTGCGCGTTGTTTTTAATGATGCGAGACCACCGCGTCAACAATTCAGCGAGCGCCCACCTTGCCCGCGCCGTGTTTAAAACATTAAAAAACACAAAAAGCGGTTGCCAACACAAAGAGCCTGCATGACAAATGGCCTCGCTTCAAGAACTTCAAAACAATGCCGTTATCACTACCGTGGCGCAGGTTCGAGGTGGACGTCGCCAGAGCAGAAGCGCCGACACTGGCACAGTGCACGCCTGCTTGGTGACCTTGGTGGCGGATGGGCCAACGCAGCGGCGGTGGCACCGAACGATTGCACTATCGACATCGTTGGCGCCATCGGCACCACCTCGGGATCGGTATCCAGCGGGTGTTGGTTGACTTGGAGACGTAGAGGACGTGTATGGTACAACACAGTTGATGGCTCCTGCACGCTACTACCTACAGTGACTAATACCACGACCTGCCACCACCGTCCGACGTCGCTGGCCTCGTGGCCGCCAAGTTCTTATAGACAGCTGCCGTTTAGCACTTGATGGGCAACGCCACTCGAGAGTCCTTCCTTCGCGGGCATGTATGGGATAGCGGCTTGAGTTGGCTTGTCGCCAGCGTCGTGTTTTAAACACATAGCCGACCACGTGGTTGTTACGAGTATGTATAATACATGCCCGTATGCCAATAAGAAACGGAGCTTCGTGACAAACCATATTGGGACTTGCGCCAGGACCGCCGAAGCCGCATGCGTCCGGGCTCGCTCAAGAACACCGTGCTGAGTACGACGCCGTTCTTCTGTCTCGGAGGCTCATGCATCCTCGTGTAGCGGTCTTCTTCTCGCTCATGTCGATGGGCTGCTGTACCTTCTCGATGATCTACCCCGCGTGGTTCATGCAAAAGTACAAGGAGACGACGCCGGACGTCTTCCAGGGCTTTGGCATTTTCGCCTTTCACTCGACGGGGGTGCTCCAAACCCCCTTCTTCGCGTCCGCAACGACGCTCGAGTACTCGGACTTTTGCGCCAACCAAAAGGCTGGCGTGCAGGCCCCGAATTGGATGCTCGGCGGCGCGCCGCAGCTCCAAGTCATTCTCTGCGGCATGCCGATCAAGGGCATCCAGTACGTCATCATGTTCGCCGTCGTCTTTGCGACCATCTCGCTCCTCGCGTCAATTGCAGCCACGTTCCAGCCGCAAGCCGGCTGGGCCGAGCGCATCGTATCGTCAGCGACGCTCGCGGCCTGTACGACTTTGCCGTTCGAGTTTGCACTTGCTGATATCTTGTTCCAATGTTGTAGCATGCCTTTTGCTCGCGGCTCTGATTTGCTGGGCGCTCCAGATCCAGCAAAAGATGCTGCAGATCGACGTGCTCTCGTCCGGGTACCAGGCGTGCAAGAGCGTCAAGGGCGACGGCTCCAAGTGGAGCTGCTGGTTCTACGGCTACAGTTTCTGGGCCGCGATCGGCGGCGTCTGCGGCATGCTCTGCACCATGTATGCGAGCTCGGCCGGCCGCGCGGAGAAGATTCGCCACTTCCGTAACCTGTACGAGCAAGACCTCGCCATCGCCATGCAGGCGTCGGCGGGCCAAACGCCGGGCACGACCACGAGTGCCTACACAGCGCCGCAGTCGGAGAAGCCTATCGTCCAGCCGTCCGCGCAAAACCACCCGGGCTTTGCGCCGTCCGAGCCGCACGCCAACTCGATCTCGTCCTACGAGCCTGGGTTCCAGCCGTACGGCCAAGCGCCGCCGCCAAACAACACGGGCCCCTACGCGGCCACCTCTGGCTACGGCGCTCAACCAGCGTACGGAAACGCGTACAACACCAATGCATATGGCCAGTCCCACACCAATGGTGCATACCAACAGCCCGTCCAACCCGTTGTTGGAGGCAGTGGTTATGTCCGAGGTGGCATTGTCTAGATCGACGAAATATGACGAGTAGATATATTATTATCTTATAAACATGAAACATTGTGTACACAAGTTGGTAGGAGATGCAACAGACAAGTCGTGCACGCCACCAAGTCCTATAATACGCCGACGCACCAATTTTTGGTCTTTTCCAGAGACGCGATTACAATTTGATGTATCTTCCTGTTGAGGCACGGATGTCCATGGCTCTGAATGGGACAGATTCGATGCATTTTGAGCTGCCCATGCAATCTACCAGGGATCGCATCACAGCAGCGAGCGGAACATGTACAACATACAACGCTCCATCGTACCAACGACAAAAGATCAACCGGCTCACTGCCCGTCTACACCGTGAGCGATGCGCTTGTGGTGCGAGATCGAGCTCATCGTCGACGCCAGGGACGAGTGCGCGCGAGTCCCATGCATTCAGAAACTATAGGCTTGCTTGTTCGTGCTCTTGTGCCCAGTTGATGTCGTCGACTCGCCATGGCTGCCCGTCGAGGTCCACATAGACATAAGAGAGGCGGAAGTGCCCGATACCATTGTGTGCGTCCTGTTGTTGTTGAACTAAGTTATATTACATGCAATTATAAAGATAGGGTGGACTTTCTAATGCGCTCGTGAGGCTTGACCGGTGCTTCAGCGAGGAGCGTTAGTGCTCGTGATGCGGGATCGTGCGAGGGACCAGATAGCGTGCACACCAAGGGTCGTCGCGTAGAGCAGCCAGCGACGCGTCAAGAGATGGCACCACAGCGCGACGAGCCAAGTGCCGGATGTGCAGTCGTGCGATAGTAGCTCCCTGGATCGCGAGCGCGGCAGCGAGAAGTTGCGTCAGCGTCGAGTGGAAGACACGGTTGTTGCGAGACAATTACACCAGACGCAAGCTCGTAAGATCGGCCAGAGGACACGAACGGACGACCTGTGGGCCGAGTGCGGCGCGGCGACAGCGTCGTAGAGAAAGCCAGCGACCGAGCAAATTGCTCCGCAGCGGTGCAAAAGCGCGCCAGATCGCGCGGGCATATGACAGCCCACCAAAAGATGGTCGTACGTTTCGCGGGCTGGCGCATCGCAGAGAAGACAGTGTAGCGTGCGTCCTGTGGCACAGGTCTCCGCCGACATGTTCCACCGCACTTTCCTCGTAGTTGCGTTGCAGAGCCGGATTCGCACAGAGTCGATGCTAGCGTTCGCCTTGGAAAGAGATGGCCGAGCAACGTCGCCACAGGTGCTACACGCTTGTAGCTCGACGCTCTATGCTAGCGATGGAGTCCCACGTTGGTATGCCATCAGCCACGACGAAGCGCTCGTTCGGGAACTGCAGCGATCAAGGGTGTAGCCGGATCAAATGGCCACGCGACGCTTCTCCTTCTGTGAGAGCATCCTCACGTCACGCAACGCTTCTCTCCCATCGGCATCCTCTTAGCATGTACTACATGGTAATGGCACCAAGCGGAAAGAGCGAGCAGACAGAGAGCGTGGCGCCACTAGCTGGTATCGCATCGGCGCTCGGGACATTTCTGACTGCTCACCGTTTACTCGTACTCTGCAGAGCGCAACGGCATGAAGAAGAGGGCCTCGATTTTCTGGGGGCGACAGGTCTATACACAAACCAAGTGGTCGTGGCCGTCCCAGCGCCAAAGGCCACGCTGTTACACGTCTGGTCGGTTTGCAATCGCAACAACTTGAAGGGTTGAAGTTGAAGAAGCGCAGCAGCCTGTGGTCGTTCGTTGTACTTGATTTTGTCGCGCCGTCCCAAGGACGGAGCAGGTACTGGACAGAATCTGCTTATCTCAGACTAGTCGTCGTTTGGGGCGAGCGAATCACTTCAGCATTATCCACGGTCAGTTCGACGGAAATGCGTCGACTGTCCCAGGCACACTCTGTGCAGCTTCAAGGTCGCATAAAAGAACGCGATGCCAAGGGCACGCAGGGTTAGGTCGGCTGCGTCTAGTCCGCGACGCTCCGACTAAAACGGCGACGATGTAGAAGAAGAATCGAGTCGACCGTCTACGAGAGCGGATCGGTTTGTTGGGTCCCATGGCGTGCAGACTGGCGCGCTGGTTTAATCCCTTGGAGTGGATACTTTTTGAGTGGATACGTTAGAGTGGATACGATACCAAGCGGCTCAGATGTACGTACATCGTCTGCGTGTACAAATGCAGCATGGTTTGCAACGCTATTAGTCATCAATCTGCATGGCCTCGGGTCGCGGTGGCGCGCCCCGACTGCTTTATCCACGGTGGCAACGTGTTTGGATACACAGTGGAGTCTCGCCGCATACACAAATTGAGTACATGACGATAGAGTGTTCACCAGACCTGCGTTATCCTGCGATGCCCACACACGCCATGACGACCTTGTAGGACCACTAACTACCGGTACGTACAGTGCCATTCGGCAATAGTGTGCAGAGCCCGAGCGCGTTGGCTTTTTGTTGATGGCCCCGACGGGCTCGGACGAGGTCTCGGAGGCGACTGGTGCGACGACAAGAGGACAAAAGGACAAATGAAGGTACCCAAGTCGAGAAACAAAAAACGAGTAGTAGCGTACAGTGCATCAAACGAGCACATCGTGATGGTGACAAGCGATTGCTATACACAAGGTGGCGGCACATCGGGTCGCCGGCGATTGCTCGACAGAAATGGCGCCGGCGCAACCAAAACACATCCGCAATCCTTGGAGATTGCTCGACAGTTTGCAACTTGAAGGCGACACAGTGGAATTACAATTGGTTTTGGAACGCGACTTGTGGGTGGATGTACCCAGCCTGGTTTGAACGCGCGGCTCTACGCCTACTGTCCCAAGGCCCGATCGCAGTCGTGTTCGCGGTCATTGGTGGAGCGAGGGGGGCGACAAGAGTTCCCTTGGGCGGTGCAAGGAACCATGGCGCCTCTCGCTTCTGAGCATTGATTTATTCCACTTCGCATGCACTCTTCACTACAAAGATACTTGTGTGTAGACACCTCGTTTTATGCATACAAACACAAAGTTGTTATCATGCATTTTGAGGGAGGAGATCCCACGGTGCGCCGACCAACCCCGAGCCCTCTCCCGTGCGCCGGGCGCGTTAAACACGTTCCACGCGTGTCTACAGCAGATTAACCTCGTGGTGGGTGCAATTAACGCGTGCAAAGGAAGGCCGCGGGGGACTTCAAGGGGGACAGTGGGTACCCACATGTCGCGCTTATCGCTGTCACGGCACACTCCGCATCTCTTTGCCAAACGAAAGGTGCTGGGTGCGCGTGCCACGCCTGCTGCAACAAACCACGCAACATGATTTGCGTCCACTTGGTTTGTGTTTTTTTGGTTTTTGGTGGCGTTCTAGCGCTCACTTTTCAATTTGCCTTCTGCATCATCACCAGCAGTCCAGTAGCATGAACGACGTGCATCTCGGCGTCGGCTTTGCCCTCATTGCGTACCTCCTCTGGGGGTTCCAGCCCATCTACTGGAAGCAGCTCCTCGACGTCAACTCGTATGAGCTCATTCTCCACCGCGTGGTCTGGTCGTACCCGATCCTCCTCGTCTTCCTCGCGCTCAACGGCGAGCTCAAGACGTACTGGACCGCGATTACAACGTGGCGCACGTACAAGGTCTACTCAGTCTCGGCGCTTCTCCTCGGCATCAATTTTTTCTTTTCGCTGTGGGCCGTCAACGCCGGCCACATTTTGCAAATGAGCCTCGGGTACTTTGTGAACCCGCTTTTTAGCGTCCTCCTTGGCGTCGTCTTCCTCAAGGAGCGCCTCCCGATGCTCCAATGGGTCGCGATCGGTATCGCGACGGTCGGTGTCGTCATCGTCACGATTGGCTACGGCGAGTTTCCGTGGATTGCGCTCACGATTGCGGCGGTGTTTGGCTTTTATGGCCTCGTCCAGAAGAAGGCGCCGCTCTCCGGTCTCGTCGGGTGCTCGGTCGAGCTTCTCCTGCTCTTTGTCCCGTGCTTGATCGCGCTTCTCGTGCTGGAAGGCCGCGGCACGGGCGTATTTGGCCACTCGGACGCGTCGACCAACTGGCTCATCTTTGGCTGTGGCGCGGCGACGATTCTGCCGCAAATCGCCTTTGTGTCGTGCCTCAAGTACATTACGCTCTCGCTCCTTGGCATCGTCCAGTTTGTCGGCCCCACGATCCAGACGCTTGTCGGCGTCTTCATGTACGACGAAGACTTTGGCTCGATGAAGCTCGCCGGCTTTATCTGCGTGTGGATCTCGCTCGTCATTTTCACGGTTGACGGGCTCCGTGCCAAGGCGCCCGAGCCGATCGTGGACGACGCCAAGGTCAGCGACAGCTGCGAAGACGGCACGAGCTCCGACAACAACTCCAAGGCCGAGTACCGCGGGATCGTCGACGCCCGCGTCTAAGCGTGTCGACAGTTAGTTTATTATGTCTAGTCAATAGAAATATAGTTTTGTGCAAATCATGTATCGAGTCGATGCGGTTCAAGATCGCGCCACCGTGTCGCACGCAGGTGCATATCCTGGGTGCGACGGGTTCATCCTGGAACTCCTTCGTCCACGCGTTGTGGATAACGTGAAGAGTATGTGGTGGCAGCCATTGCCGCATACCGCTGCGATGACTCAATCGAGAAAGGCTGTGTCATCGTCGCGCATGCAATGAAATGCGGTAGTGGCGCCATCCGGGTGCTGTGGTGCGCCGTGGGAAACCGGTGCACCGGTAGTTACAACCGACCTCGATGAGAATACACTATCGGTTCATAGTCGATTAGACAGCAATCGAGACGGGCATCTATTGCATCCTTGCATGCACAGAGAGGTCCGGCCGCTAAGAACTTAGTTTCGTCCACCGAGAGGTCTACTACGTGTATATCCAGCGGTCGAGGGATGTTTGTTTGCGTCAAACGCGGTTCCATCCCGAGACGACGTCGAGACACGCCGCAAGCCGTTGAGAGCGACACCTCCAGGAGCACCAGTGAAGCTGAAAACCAATCGCTCGAAGAAATGCTGAAACTGTAGCTGTCTTGGTTTCTCGAAGCCACTGGGAGCCGCTGGGTGGCATGGAACTCCAAGCAGAAATCGACGGCCATGACGTGGCCCATTTCCGAGGTGGCAGAGGTGGCACTCCGTGGGACAAAGCGTCGCAGCTACCTATGTCAGTGATATAATACAAATCAAATATGCACATTTATGTAATAACTGAGATACAAAAATGGATTTGTTCTATCGACTATACCACAATATGCATTTCAATCGTCGACCTAAAGTGCAAATGGACGGGACGCGGCGATCCATATGACGCGTCGAAACGCTCGCGGGTTGCCACGTTGTAGAGCGTTAAAGTAGCGCATGGACGTTAAAGTCCACTCGAGGCTTTTTAACCTATTGAACGCACATGGAACAAACTCGCTTTTTCGAAAAACTGTTGCATGCTTCAAAATTATCCGCGGGAACCGGGTGAAGTTCATGTCGCGCCTGCCTTTCTACCGGCACCACGGCTTCACGCGCACAATTCGACTCGTGCAACATGAGTGACGTGCGGACTGGCGTCGGCTTTGCCGTCTTGGCGTACCTCCTCTGGGGCTTCCAGCCCATCTACTGGAAGCAGCTCCTCGCGATCGACTCGTACCAGCTAGTCTTGCACCGCGTGGTCTGGTCGTTTCCGGTGCTCGTGCTCTTCCTCATTGCCACGGGGCAGTTCCGCGCGTGGCTCACCGCCGCGTGCACGCTCAAGACGTACAAAATCTACTCGATCTCGGCGCTCCTCCTCGGCGCCAACTTTTTTCTCTCGCTCTATGCCGTCAACTCGGGCCAGATCCTCCAAATGAGCCTCGGGTACTTCATCAACCCACTCTTCAGCGTCGTGCTCGGCGTCATCTTCCTCAAGGAGCGGCTTCCAGTGCTGCAGTGGGTCGCAGTTGGCATTGCTGCCGTCGGCGTCCTCATTGTCACTATTGGATACGGTAAATTCCCTTGGATCTCGTTCTCGCTCGCCGCCGTCTTTGGCGTCTATGGCCTCGTGCAAAAGAAGGCACCGCTCAACGGCCTTCAAGGCGTCTCGATCGAGCTCATGCTTCTCTCGGTGCCGTGCATCATCATCCTCATCGTCCTCAATGAAGAAGGGTCCGGCGCCTTCGGTCACTCGGGCGCCAAGCTCAATTGGCTCATGGTCGGCTGCGGCCTCGCAACAATCTTGCCGCAGCTCTGCTTCACGACAGCGCTCCAGACGATTCCGCTGACGATTCTGGGCATCGTCCAGTTCATTGGCCCGTCCATCCAGACGATTGTCGGCGCGCTTATTTACGATGAAGATTTCTCGATCACCAAGGCCGCAGGCTTTGGCTGCGTCTGGGTTGCGCTCATTCTGTTCACGTACGCAGGCCTCCGAGCGCGCGCCGCGGCCAAGTCAGTGCCAACTGTCGATGTCCAAGACAACCAAGCGGCAACGACCGACTACCACGGCGCCAACGACACGAGAGTGTAGACACTCTGTACCATCATATAAACCGTAAACTAATATGCTAGTATTCAACGTTATGTGTGGCATCTTGGTGCCGAGATCCCATCCGTCGAGTTTTCTCCTTGCAAGTTGAAAGGCGATGCGTCAAATCCCAAATTACACTCCGGTAGAAAAAACAGTGCACCCCAACCTCTCCTCGGTGCACCCCATAATCGCGCCCAACGTCACGCGCTGTGGAAGAATGCTTGATTTCACGTTGTAGACTCCCGTCTCCACTTCTTCGCAAACACTGTCGCCTCTTCTTCTTTCATCTTTCGTGGGTACCACATTTTTTTGGTACGGTAGCTGCATCGCAGTTTGAATCGTGATCTATACCAGAGAGAACGGCCCTCCACTATGAACGTGCTCTCTCGTTCGGGGACGTATAAGGGCTTAACATGCCAAGTGTGTTATATTAGCCCGACTGTCATAACGACCACGCACAGTGTGGTGCAATTTCTTGCATTACCCAACCCCTGCTTCGATCCTTGCAAGGATTCGGTGGCCTACTACTCGAGCAGTCGGGCTTCTTTGAGACCCGTGGCCAAGTTGATTCGAATCCACAAGCCCTACGCAGGCACAATGCATCACGGCCATGCGCATTGACAAAGCGCGAATGCACCCCAGGTAACTGCTGGCCTTCCTCGATCGTCTTCCACTCATTCGTTGGCTCAAAGAGGTTGATGGCGGCCGGAGCCTTGGCGCGACCCGCCGGAGCCGCGGACGCCTCATCGTTGGACACGAGCATGAGCGCCGAACCCATCGACGGGCTGCGCAACCGCGCTCCATCGACCGCGCATGCGACAGCGGCGACAAGCATCAACGTCGTCCGCATTGTCCGATGTTGTTGGATCTTTTTTCACTTTGCCTTTTGGCATCTGAGCACCGTATTGGCTGCCAATGATTGGCTGCTATTCTTTCCCGTCGCCTCTCGATACCTAAATGTATCCTCCAGCATTCCTAAATCGTACAATTATAGCTATGGACATGTATTAATACGTGGCGCGAGCTCCTAGCGCCTCGCGCCAAGTTTGATGTCTTGTCCGTACGGGGCATCCAATCGCGTCCTCGTTGGCTCGTTAGTGTGACGCCCGGTCCTTTGTATGCATCCAACGACACAAGCCATCGACATCGTGGACCGATCCAACTCGGTCGTCGTGGCCAGCGACCTCCTGCCGTGCACCTGATTTCCCAACCGCGCGCTGGGAAGAGCCTTGTTCATCGACGCGTCGGACGAGATCGTCACGCATTTTCCAATAGCGAGGCACCGTTTACTCCGGCCTCCTGGTTCGGTCCCACATCTCACGGCTATCGAGTCGTTGAAGCGGCTTCCGCCTCTTCCTGGCCCTCCAAGTGCGCCTGCACTGACGGCAGTCGTACGTCCAGCACAGATATGACTGACGCGCATGAACACGTTTCTACAGCAAGCGTGTCGGGATGCGCTCTCAACCCGAATGAACGTCCTTCTATCCGGTTGATGGGCTGTCCGGATACACATGTCCCGACTGCGGTCTTTCACACAATATTGGGTGACGAAAAACCAGGCAGCGATGGTCCTCCTCCGATTCTACCTTGCGCTCGCGACGTGGGCGACGGCCGCCGTCCTTGGCCAGCACCCCGAGTTCCACGCAGCGTGCGCTAGCAACAAGGTCGAAGTCGTCGCCGGGCTTCTTAAGACGAACCCTGAAGTTCTCAACGAAGTCGGGCCCGAGGGCGGGCAGACGTGCCTCATGCGCGCGTGCCTCTTTGGCTCGGTCGATGTCGTCAAGCTTCTCTTGACGTACCCGGGCATTGATATCATGAAGGGCGAGAAGGATGGGTACACGCCGATGCACGGCGCCGCGTACCAAGGCCGCCCGGCGGTCGCCAAGCTGCTCTTGGAGCACGGCTTGAGCCCGACCGAGCTGCACAAGGACGGCTTTGCGCCGTTCCATCGCGCGGCGTGGGGCGGCCAGCGCCGCCACACCGAGACGGTCCGCGTCTTCCTCGAGGCAGGTGTGCCACGCGACTTGAAGACAGCGGACGGGCTCACGGCGGTCGAGATCACAGAAAATTACTACACGCGCCGCATGCTCCAGAACCTCCAGCCGATCGACGAGCTCTAGCCGATACGAATACCGTATCGAAGATGTTTCGAAAGAAGCTTGTGGATGCTACTCGTTGCTTGTTGTTTCTTCGAGTACAGGGTACCCTCGACGTGGGCGGATTGACACCGCGTCCAACAGCAAGACTGCATACAAAGTGCAAAGTCGCCAAGGTGCCACATTTCGCCGCGATCCTCGTCTGAGTTGGCGCGACGGAGCGTCGCAGCTACCACTCCCAGCCGCCGCCACCCACACACTGAGTACCCGCGGCAGCTACCTCGTTCGAAAAAGTGCCCCACTCGCGCGCGGCGGCTCAGATGCCCTCGACGGCTTCTAGTGTGGCTTCCCGGCTAAATTTTCGACCGTATCAGGTCACGGCTGCGTGCACCACCCATGGACATCGCTGGCATCTGCGCACGCTGTCTCGTGATCGCACAAGCTGGAAGTTAAGATGGCCCACAACACGACGGCGACGACGCGGTGTCGGTGCACGCTTCTTCTGGCGCCAAGGAAACGGCCGCTGGCGGCTCGAGCTACTCGAGCGTGGGATCATTTGCGTGCGTGGTGGGCTCGCCTTCCGTTTTCTTGGGACCTGTGGTTGCCGCGCTTTCGCTGGCCACGGATGATGTGGCATGTTCGCTTCAACTTCTGCACGTGGCCAATCCATGGTACCTGTGCCCAAATCGCGCCGGAAAGTGGAAGGATCTTTCTTCGTGTCGCACTCAGCTGCTTGAAACCTGAAGTTTCCGGCACGGATCGGCCCATCCTCTGCTTGGCCCGCGTTGCTACTGCTTGCTGTTCGGGCCTCGATGTTTGAACTTGGAAAAAACAGCCTGCAAGACGACGATGCGGAGGTTGATCGAGAAGGCGCCAACGACAACGCGGCTCCCATCGCAGCCTTCGATGCCTTCCCTGTCGCCTGCCATCTCGGCTGTGGCGCAGACACCTATTTTACCAGCAGCACGTGTCGCCAAGTCAGTCAATGGCTACATCCTGAAGTTTGGTCCAAGTCCCCCTCTCTGGTCATACCGTAGGGTGTATCACGCGTCACTTGGATCTTTGTTTCTTCGTTCTCTTGACACACGGGTCAAGTCGCTTTGTCCCATGTGACACGGCCCAGGATTTTTGGAGTGCTTGAAAAATTAGGCGCGGCCGCGCTCGGCCATGCCCCATCGTCGTGCGTCCAGCGCTTCTCTCAATGCTACGGCGTTCTAGCCCTTCGATCGCTCTCGTCGAAGCGCCTCTATCGTAATGGCGTGTGCAACTTTACATTTCATAAGCCCCTTGCCGCCAATGGCGTCGACGTCGCGGGGCCGAAACCATCTGCTTGCAGCCTGCGTGGATCGTCCTTTTTTGAAACGCTCAATTCATCATACAAACCGCAAGTGACACGGGCATAAAAACACGATGGCCGAGGGATGGGTACCGTGTACATTGTAGGAAGTACGCGCGCTGGCCCCAGGGCTTGATCCAACCCTTCGTTGCCGGGCAAACTTCTGGACGCAACTGCTACGGTCTTGACACCGTCGGCGTCTCACTTCAGTTTTCACCCGCGACCCCAAAACCCAAAACAACCATGACCTCGGAGACCCGCAAGCGCAACCGAGCCGCGGCTGACCGCAAGTACTATGAGAAGAACCGCCAAAAGGTCCTTGCGCGTCAGAAGGAGTACTATGCGCGCCACCGCGAGGCCGAGCTCCTCCAAGCCCGGCGCTACTACGAGTCGCACAAAGACAACGTGCTCGCGCTCAACAAGGAGTACCGCCAGCGCCACAAAGAGCGCGAGCTCGCGCAGGCCAAGCAGTATTATGTCCACCACCGCGAGAAAGTCCTCGCGCGCAAGAAGGAGTACCTTGCCGCGCATCGCGAGAAGATCAACCAGCGCCGGCGCGAGCTCCGTCTTCTCAAACAAGCCAAGGCGTCGCCGGTCGTGTCCAAAATGTCACTCGCGTTTCTTCTGAGCCCATAAGCTCATACAAGCCGCCCGTAGTAGTAGACCCATCTGTAGTGTAGTTATCGCGCCGCTTGCGGCCGATTATCCTTAATAAGTTAAATCACCGCCTTTCTCTTTCTGAATTGCATGATGAACGTGCTATGAACGTGCTTCGGGACAAGAGGTGTGGCTACTTGAATATCTCGTGTCCCTTGGGCGCACGTGATCGATCCGAGCAGAACGACCACTGTGTCACCATCTCGCCCTCCTTCCTCGTCTTGCGACATCGAAGAGGCCGTTGCGGCCCGTTGACGCCTTGCATGACGACATTGACAAAGCGAGCGCACCGCCTTTGAACGGCCCAACAAAAGAAGCTGCTTCTCATTGCGCCTCCACTTGGAACGTTGAACGACCGAACAAAAGAAGCGTCTTTTCAACGCGACTCGACTCGAGTTTGCATCAAAATGTGTCCACTGGGTTCGCAGACTGGCCACAAGCGCGCTTAAACCCGTGACCGGTCTCAGCGCGGCACTGCCACCGGCTCGGTAGGCTCGTCCGAGAACGCTTCTGGTATGCCCCAAGGAGGATTCGTAGCCTGCTTCGCGAGCCGACGCGATTCCTGTCTGCTGGGGCGTGAAACATACTTACAAAAGAAAAGACCTGTCTGCGCGCCCTCGTGCATCGAGGAAGCAAGGTACGGAGCCCAACACATCCCCCATCCCATCCCATAGCCGCAAGAGACGCACAACCAGCACAACATACACGATGCGTTCAAGTTGCACCGTCTGCCTGTCTGCGAGCAGCACCGGACAACGCCAAGCACTGCATCGTAGGGTAATAGTAATCAGCGATGGCTCGTAACGGTCCTTCGTCGCCAGTACTTCATGGAGCCGCAGCGTACTGGCAGACAGATCTGGGGCTTGGAAGACCGAGCCCTATCAGATGGTGTCCAATCATATGGCTCAATTGACACGGCACGAATCATGGAACGGGAACGTCGTCGCCAGAAGAAGAGAAAGTCCTGGCGTCAGGAGTCAGGCGGTTCGAAGGCGTACATGCACAGCAGAGATGGCAGAAGGACGCTGCCAGTGCGAGGCTTCAATAATGTGTTGGTAACGTAGGGACGGCGGCCATTCGTGTGCGGGACGAGTCGCAGCTGCGGCCCATCCAAAAGAAATCCCCATCGGTTTGACGGTTTGCAATCCATCACCTGCAGTGCTAGTATGTTCTTGTTTGTATTGTTATCGTCTTTGAGGGTATGAGGACCGGCAACGAGAGCAGAAAGCTCGCCTACGGTATGGACGTCGTGACTCGCCCTGGTATCAACGTGACTCGCTCTGACATGGGTCGCTGCACCGGTAACTGGTTGTGTAACTGGCATTTCGTCGATAGCACTTCATCCACTACGGTACGAGCGCGTCCCACTGCGTCATCGCCGAATGCATCGCAGGTAGTTGTACGACTATGGATGCTGGGCACCGAAATACAACCAACTCGCGTCAGTCCTGAGCCTCAACAACACTCGTCTTTGTACCATCGCTCAAGCTTGAAGATATCTACTGACGCAGCTCTCGAGCAAGTGGCACACACCCACGGTAACCACACGATGCTACAAATCAAAGAAATCGATAGCAAGGCAGATGGCAGCACAGAATCGGCACAAGTCCACGAGATCTCGGACGCCGTTGAAGCATCAAACACCCTTTCGACTCGAATCGGGCCGATGCTCTTGAGGCGCAAGGCTAGGCTTTGCGTAGTGTCGTCGTGTTGGCAGGAATGGCTGCGCTCTCTGCTTCGACTCCCTCTTTCTACTCGTTCTCACGTTGTCAACGTCGTCAAGTGCACGCAGCCTTCGTTCAGAAGCCGCCTGTACTGCTTGAAAAGAACTCGTTCGCTCGATATGTAGCGTCACAGTCGCAGCGCCTTCATCCGGATCCGGATAAAGATTGGGTTTGTAGCGATCTTTCGCTGCATGGCGATCCTGAAGAGCCACAGTTTCCCGCCAATGGCGCAACGAGGTCACTCGTCACGAAAACTGTCGACGCGCACACCATCCGTCTAGTCACAGTACTGATGTGAGCATTTAGGAGAAGCCTTCAAGCAGAGCATCGGATGCTCTGCTTGAAGGCTTCTGGGTGGATGCTGAGCATCCCCCCCGCCAATCCGTGCTTATATTTGCCTGCTGAAAAGCCCGAAGAAAGGACCGAACATCCAGTGCAAGTACTAGCAAACCCAGTGCGGACGGCTCATAATCGCGAGTGAAAATAGGAGCAGGGCGAGCACGCGGATCCAATAAAATCCTCGGCAGGCCTGGCAGAACACCATTGCTCAGCCAACGCACACGTATGGTGTGATGTGGCTACAACAGGATCTCGGCAACGTGGCCACCCCGTGCGTCAGTGACCATGCGATGACTGGGCGCCACCGACGACGCTGTGCAGCTACTAGTACATCGAAACAGGAGCTAGCAAATCTGGTAGAAGACGAGGTCCCTTTCCTCGTATGTACCGACTTCAAATCTGTAGTGATGCGTCGGGATTGTAGAGCTGCCGGTATGTAGTCAAATCAGGCAAAAGTGACCGATTCCAGGTATGGATGTAAACTGAATCCACGACCATCTTAATGTGCTATGGAGAGTAAATATAACCACTTTGACGTACCCTTACTTGCTGCTGCTTGGGTGGCGTTGCTATCGTGGAGTCCAAGGCATGAAAGATTCATCGGCATGCGTACGTGTCGCGCTTGGACAAGCTGCGCAGGGGAAGCTAGATGACTCGCATGCTAATGATGATAACTGGACAGGCGATGGCGCACGACGGTCATGAATAAGCTGCACAGGATAGACCGCTCGCTTGTGGGGCACAGACTGTTCTACTTCTACCTTAGAATTGCCCCTTTTCCATATCACGTCGCATCACCTTCAACTAATGCTCGTTGACAGCGATTTGCGACTTGGCAGCAACTCGGAGCAATTATTTCCGTTAGCTTCGTCACATGCCATGCAGCCTCGGTGCGACCATTGTATCGGCATGCATCCAGCCACGCGTTGTGTCCTTTGCTCGCAGTCAGTGCGTTGGTTTCATCGACTTGATCGAGGGCCATGATCACGCACTCGATGCAACCAGCATCAGCTTTTCAGCGCCAAGACTTGCTCATTCATGTTGCTAGCTGTACCCATTTCCGTGATCGATCCGCGCACTATTTGCGCGTCAAGAGCCCTGTCTAAATAGAGACCCTCGTCTGCTCCGTGTTGTGATTTTAGGCCGGAGCCCAAGGTGTGGTGGTCATGGACGACGTGACGTGCTAAGGCAGCCCGCTGCCCCCTTCACCGAATCTCCTGCCTCATGCGAAAGTTTTCGCTCCACCAGCGCCGAGCTAGAGGTGTTGAGTGAGCACCAATTGCGAGTGACCAACATGGAAAAACCCCGCTGTCGTCGCTTGCAAGAACGCCACCTCTCGATCCTTGAGGACTTGAGGAAGGCAGCTTGCGTGAGCAGGACGCGCCGCCGCCGAGCACTAAGCAATTAGTGCCTGCGCACGGCAAACCAAAGTTTCATGGCGCCCGCCAGCCGTTTTTGGGGGTGGGGCGGGATCGCTTACTCGTTAAAGGATGCATTCGGTTATAGCTACATATAATATTAGGCCTGTCGCGGCCTCTACTCCTCTACTTTTCTTCTGTTGTTCTTTGTGCGCTCGACCTTTCGTGCAAAAAACTTTCCGCTCCTCGGAATCCCACCGTCTCTGCATGGCGTGAAATTAGAAGAAAAATGCTTCGACTTGTGATCGCATGGGGACACTACTGGGGGCATGACGCCTTGCCGTTGAGGTGCTACAGGTTGCAACAAATCTTAGCGTGTCGTATGCAAACATCTAGACGTACGAGACAAGGGGATCAGATTGCTGCACATTGGTATAAAGTTGGAAGCTTGGGGCATCTATCGGCATCATACCGGCGAGCGTTAAACGCATGATCCTCACAGCACAAGTCAGATGCTTCTTGTGAGGACTGCACTCTGTGGGATAAATACGCGCTGCGTGAACTCAGTAGTGGGAGTCAGACGTGGTTGCTTTTCGCTTTTGCTTTCACTTTTTCTCTCTAACCGGATCCGGATAAATTTGAAAAGCAAAAGCAAAATGCATGTGCAAAAAGGGAGTCAGAGGTCAAAGCTGCTTTCAGCAGTATCCGGATTGGGCCATGTCATCCGCATAACGATGGGTGGCGGGCGTCATTTTGGACGGATGCGGCGCAGCACGCAATGCAGACAAGAACGACCTTACGCTCACGGAGGAGACGGAGTTTCTAAAGAGCATACAAGCGTACGGCATGCGCGCTGACTCTCTTGCTTCTGTCCCAGCGACCTAGACGTCGCCAGTGATAACTACGGCATTCGTACCGCGCCGCGCCCGAGCGAACGCCACTAGATCTCGCTGCCGGAGCGGCGTCGGCTCCTTGTCGCACTCCTTGTCCTCCATCGCGCACCACAACGCGATACCCTTGCTTGTGCTATGTACATGTACAAGCCTACGCAGGCAAGGAGTCTTATCTCGTGCACACGGCGTTGTCGTCGTCCGCGCCTCTGCTCGCACGCTCTCCATCGACCTGCAGCAAAACGTGAGGCTCACAGGCGTCGTAATATAAATCGATGCTATTTCTCATTATATTTCGTGAAAGCGCTTTTCGAAAGTGAAAGTACCTCCCGAGGTACTTTCACTTTTGAAAAGCAGCTTTTGCTTTTCAAATTTATCCGGATCCGGTTAGAGCGAAAAAGTAAAAGCAAAAGCGAAAAGCAACCACGTCTGACTCCCACTAGTGACAAGTAGTTGCCAATTCGTTGCCGAAGTCGCGAGGATGCGCAGAAGTTGCTGTGGGTGCCACGTCGCCAGTTGGCACCCGATTATCGGGAGAAATACGTGGCAAACGTAGGAAAGAGGTGGGACAGACAAGTCCACGCAGCATGATAGCTTCTCTCACCACGCGCTCATCGTGCGTCTCGCGTCCTCTGCGTTCTCTGCGTCATTGATATCGACAGCACTCTTCAGCACACAAAAAC